GTGGCCAAGAAGGCCAACAGCATCCTGGCCTGCATCACGAATAGTATAGCCAGGAGGAGTAGGGAAGTGATTGTCCCCCTGCACTTGGCATTGGTGAGGCCACACCTTGAGTGCTGTGTTCAGTTTTGGGCGCTGCAGTACAAAAAAGAAGTTGAGGTTCTGGGGAGGGTCCAGAGAAGGGCAACAAAGCTGGTGAAGCTGGCCTTGAGAATGTCTTATGAGGACTGGATGAGAGACTTGGGATTATTTAGTCTGAAGAAAAGAAGGCTGAGGGGAGGCCTTATCGCTCTTTACAACTACCTGAAAGGAGGTTGTAGAGAGGTGGGTGTGGGTCCCTTCTCAGAACTTACAACCGATAGGACAAGAGAAAATGACGTGAAGTTACTCCAGGAGAGGTTTAGGTTAGATATTAGGAAAACTTATACACTGAAAGGGTTGTCAAAGACTGGAACAGGCTGCCTAGGGAAGCAGTAGAATCACCATCCTTGGATGTTTTCAAAAAGCATTTAGATATGGTGCTCAGGGACATGGTTCAAAAGTGGGCATGGTAGGGTTAGATAACAGTTGGACTTGATAATCTTAAAGGCCTTTTCCAACCATAATGATTCTATGATTCAGTGTAGAACTGCTGGGTTATTGGGCAGGGTACCTGGGACTTATCCCACAGGTCCCGTTATGCCAGTAGCATACCCGATCACTCTACATCCAGCCCTTGCCCTTGCTGGGAAACCTTTATTTGGCACAAGAATTGACATGTAGATAACTTGGGACTGCCTGTCCCCATGCTAGTTTTATCCAGCAATTATGAAAAAAAATAATCTGTTGGGGTTTTTTTTCCCTTTTTGTGGTGGAATAAAGGCACTTCTTACCTCTACCAAAACACAACATAGCAGTGGGTACAGCAATTTATATCAGTTGAGGAGGATATCTGCCACAGCTATCTGTGATTTGAATTAAGAGTGTGGGATTTAGTGTGAACTTCTGAATCTGCTAAAGCTGGACTTCATAATTTTATTTCTGGCATATATACTCCTGGCTTTCATGGGAAGCGAGCCTGCAGCCTAACAGTCTCACAGCCTCCATGACCTCTTCAGCTCATCTACCTCTTATGGGTACTGGGAAGCATTTCTTCCTGCTTTAATTACATTAGTGACCTCTTTTTCGTTTCACCCTGGTTTGGACAGAAGAGGATCAGACAAAAATTTTGCTGCCACCACCTAGCATCCTCTGCTGTTAATTCATCAGGACTGACACAGTCAGGAAGGGTGAAATCAGGGACAGCACGGCTTGGCCATGGTGTCCCCTCCAATGGATGCTATTTCTTGCACTTGGCACACCCTGCAGTGGGCTCACTTCTTCTTTTGCAGCTCAGATGTGCTCTGTTTTAGCTGGCAGAAATGGTTGTGTTCCTAATTCTTGTGTGAGCTTTGTGCTCGCAGCTTTCTGCCCAGCTGGCTGAGCTTCCCTCTCCGAACTGAGCACACAGAGCAGTTTTATGAAGGCAACACTTGTTTTCCTGCCAAGCTCTGGTTTTGCCACCATGATAATATTAACACAGGTGCCAGTCCTGAGCCCCCTGTTTCCCTTCCCAGACCAGAATGAACTGTACTGGTGTACTTCTGTGCTGGTTCGTGCATTTCCACTGAATGGAGGGAGCTATGTCAATGCTGAGAGGCAGCTGCATGTTTTGACCTGTTCCCCTTTAGCAGTGGCATTCCCAGTCCCTGCAGCCATCGGCCTGGCTGTGTGCCTGCCTGAGCCACCTCAAGCCCTTCCCCTTCCTCCCTTAGTTGCTGCAAGACAAATGCCATTTTGTGTACTTGACACCAAACTCTTCAGTGTTGCCATGGGCTCTCCAAGACTGCTAAGAAATCCCTTTGACTGCAGATTTTGCAGATTTTCACATCTGCACTGCAAGGTGAAGAAGTGGCAGGAGGGTAGGTTAAGCATGTCGTGCTCTGGTTTCTGGCCACGCTGTTGGACAGTAGCTTGGGTTCAACCTGTTTCTGCTGTGTTTAGGAGCAGATGGGCTGAACTATGGTGTCCTTTGCCCTGGGCATACAGATCTAACCGCTGGTGTCTTGGCCTTAATCCTGGCACAACTGCTATTTTCTGAGTGCCCATTCTCCAAAAAGGAGATTTATGGGAATTTAAGTCCAGCCAAAGGGTCATCACTGGGGACATGGTGACTTTCCCTTCTTAGCCTGAGAAATGGTGAGAAACGTACCCCATTAGCAAGGAAAGTGAGAAAATGGGAGTGTAAGCACCACATGCTGATATATCAAGATGAGAACACAGCTTGTAAATCCTTTATTTCCTAACAGTGGAAATGCTTTATATACATACTGCTACATACAAAAAATAAGTTGAAGGAAACCTGTGCAGGCTCAGTACCATCTGTGGGAGCCTTGTGGAAAGATGTGTTAGCCCAAGTGCTGGTACTCAGTGTGCTGTCAGTGCTAGTGGGGTTCCTCACCAACAGAAAGCTTTTTTCTCTTCTCATGCAGATGAGGCACTATCCTTTTCTACCAGCTTTGAAATAGTTGTCATTCGTCAGGTTTCAGCCATGGTTTGTGCCAGATGCTCCCTGCCTTCTCTGAACTGGAGCAAGGAATGATAAGCAGCTCTCTTCATTTTCCTGCTGCCAAAGGCATCAGGGTGGATACTAGAAAACTTGGGATTTTCCAGCCTCCTTTCCTGAGGCCCCATAACAAACATTTCCTCTGGTTCAAAACAGTGATGAGCTTTGTTGCAGACTGCACTATTGCACCTTGTGCAGTGCTGGATCTTCTTACTCACATCAGCCCTGGACACTCTATCACTTGTTCCTTTTACCAGCACTGCTCAGTTTTTCCACTTATATCTGGATTTCTAAGCACTTAAAACACGTTTCAAAGCTGTGTAGACAAAGGTAATTATGACTCACATCAAGGCAGAGATGTGGGGTTGCTTACATGTGTTTCTGACATTTTAAATAAGCAGGTTGTTGCGATGTGCCCAGTGATGTGCTCACAGGCCTGTCACCTGCTTGTCATCTGCTGGATGCCCAGTGCTGGTGGAAAAGGGGAAGACTTAGGCATTAAGAAAGAGAAGCTCTTCAGTTATTATCTCAGACACATATACAACTTTCAGTTAAGGCAGAAGCCTTAGGTTTAGCATCCGTATTTTCACTCTGGGAGTTTAATTAGCTAATACTTCCCTCTTTTCTAAAGGTATGAGAAAGCTCAACTTTATACACCAGATAAGGTAAGGGGTATTGCTCCTAGTGACAAGCTAAAAAACAGTGACAGAAAAGGCAGGGGACTTGGCCAAGGTCAAAAACAAAGTCTGTGCTAAATCAGAGTAATGCAGCACCTAGATCCCAGGCACCTATTTCTGCGCTTTAACTTGTCATCAGCATCATTTCTGGAGAACATTTATATTTGAATGTCAGAGAGATCATCTGATGATTTATGAGCAATTTCTAACTTGGGTATATGCACTTACTGGAGGTTTTAGGCTCAGACTCACAGCTGTGACGTAGATGGACTAGGCCAGCTCAGCAGCAGTAAGTGCTCGATTCTGCATGCTTATCCTGCTCTCTGTTACTGCACTAAGCTAGATGGTACCAGCTCTCCCACCCTGGGGACTATAGAGGTCACACACGTGTGAGCTACTGCAGATGAGCTGATGTCAGGTAGCTGGAAAAGCTGAGAACTTGCACATATGCCTCAGCTCCAGTTGTTTTTTGACAGCTGGGATGGTCTTGCAACCATTATAAATTTATGGAAAATTCAGATTTCTCTGCCAATATTTTAATGACCTGGAAAAGAGACTATAAGCACAACCCGATGAAATCGCGTTTGCGTTATGAACAAGAGGCCCATGGAGAGTAGAGACTGGCAGTGGCTCCGAGGGCAGTCTCTGTGTCCCATCAAATGCACTCCACCCCAGCATCCTCACTGTGAAAGCAGTTGTGCACGCCCCAGTTGGCCTTTGAACAGGTGAAAATTGAACCTTCGGACCCTCTGCAATCCACTTCATCAAGCCAAATTTGTCCAGTGCCTTTGGAAGATGAATTAAAACAAACAAACAAACAAACAAAATCAGTTGATCAAAAGAAAGAGGAATATGTATTTTCTTTCTAAAGAGGCGCCTGCAGATAGCAGGCGTGCATTGGGCTGCACAGTTGGCTTGTTGGAAATCAAGGAGATGGAAGGCAGTTGTGGGCTCACCTCCTGCTGCTGTGAAGGCGGAGACTGCACGGCTGTATCCCAGCATTCGGCACACCACAGCGGCATCTTTGGTGTCCCAGCCATCGTCACAGATTGTTCCCCAGTACCCGTTGTGAAAGACTTCCACACGGCCTCTTCTGCCCCCTCCCGCGATTCGTATAAGATTATATGAGTTGCCTGACATTGCAGAGGAGAAGAAAATAACCCTACTGGTCATATGGGCATGAGGGATAAAGCACAGTGAAAGATAGAAGCAGTGACCACCAAAACTCAGACAAATGTTCCCATCTCCGTGGCAGTAGCCAAAGTGGGACCAGAAGTTACTGGTAGCTCAAATCCAAACAATTCATGGTCCTTTCCTAGGTCTGGAGACACCAGGCTGCAGCTCAGTGCATAGACCCCTCAGTTCTGGTAGCCCTGCTGCAGGTTAAGCAGTGAGCACGGGAGGGGACATTTGTCCTGATCTCAGATAGATTCAATCCCAGCAGGCAAGTGAAAGAAGAAGAAATTAAAGTCCACTACCTTCTCCCTTATCCCCTTTGCTCCCTTTTGATCCTTCGGAACCTGTTCAAATTTAAAAAGCAAATATTTGACAGCTGTTTAGGTAAAAATTCAGTTATTACATTTTTCTGAGTAACTGGGTGAGTCAGAGATACGAGGGCTTCATCCCCTTGTGAAATGGACCCCCTGAAGTGACTAACAGTATTTAAAAGAAACATGACAAGAAAAGTAGGATAACATGCAGCAAAGTCTTCCTAACATGTGACAAAAGAGAAGGACTACTTGGAAAATCCTATCTGCTCACTGATGGGAAATGTGTCTTATTCCCACTACTAGCTGTAAAATAATATCTCTGATAGCCTTTGGGCTTTCCAGAAGTAGGCATGGTATCTCCCAAAGTATTTGCAGGAAGATCTACATTATGGGGTTCTTTTTGGTGCCCAATGTGAGGCAGAAAGTGATTTCTGAGACACTCTGGGACAGGTGACCCAGGACAGATGATCTGGGTATGACCCAAGCTGACCAATAAAGATCTTTTCTATCCCATAAACGTCAGACTCACTATAAATCAGGGTGACCCCTTTAACCCCTTCTTCTTTCTTCTTTGATCCCTTCCCTTCTGCTTCGTGATGGTGGCCTATTGTGGTTCCTGAGGCTTACCCCTCCCTTGTAGCGTTGTTATTGATGTACGTCCAGTGACTGCTGTTCATGAGCTGAGTGTAACTTTGATTGCTGCATTATCATTGTTCCTATTCTTGTTACAATTAATTGACATTATTATTATTTAAGCTTGGGCTTTTCTAATTATTAAATAATCTTTATCTCAACTGACAAGTTCTTTACTTTTAATCCCCCGATTCTCTCCTCAACTCCACTGGGGAGGGGGGAGGGCTAGCAAACGAACTGTGTGGATTTTAGCTGCTTTCTGGGCTAAATCACAACAGGGTTGCTCTCCAGGTACTGTCCCAGAACAGCAGAAAGCCACTCCCAATGGTGCTCCACATTTCTGTGCAGAATCCTGGTCCTGAGAGGAGGTGTGCTTGAGAAAACACTGTGAGTTCTTCCCCCAGAAGCTACCTCCACAAAGCACACATTGTCGTCCCCTGGGGACCAGGAGCTGAGACCCAGCCAGAGGGCAGTCCCTAACCTGTGGTCACTTCCTCTAGGGACAAAGTTACAGAAGAGGAGTGCATGGAGAAGCCCCACATAGGCTCTAGTTTAATTTCTGAGAACTCTAGCACTGCTCAGTGTGAATAATTAAAAGAAAAAGCATCTGAAGCACTGGTTGCTTCCCATGGCCTGTTGTAACTACTGTTGGGGGGCGGGTTTCAGAGTTTTTGGTAGCATTATCTGACTGGAAGGGAGGGGTAAGGATGGGAAGAAGTTGTGTTGGCCCCTTTGAACTCTTTTTGTGTCCTACAATTGGAGACACATAGTTAGCTAGCTCTGGTGTTTCCAATTCTGTGTTCCTGGCTGTCATGTTTACCTGGGATTTATCCCAGTGGGAGCATGGATCGTTCCCGTTTTCTGTGAGGACAAGGATTTGAGACAATCTAATGCATCTGTTCACTTGCATGTCTTTTCGCACATCTCCCATGCTGTAAATGTGACACTCTGCACATTCATCTTCTGGGAAGACTGATCTGTCTGTTGTGTTCCTCCAAATGAGCTTTGTGAATATGCCCTGGAGCATCTCGTGCCAGTGTGTGATCTACAAACCCAAACCCAAATGCACTGTCAGCTCCACAGACCCCATGGCAAGCAGCCTTACCAGTGTATCCACGATCTCCCTTCTGTCCTTTTACTCCTGGTTCACCTTTTGGACCACGACTGCCATCATCACCCTTGCGTCCATTTTGACCAGGTGGGCCTGGGGTGCCTAGGTGGAAAGCAAGAAAGTCATTGCCTTTGTCCCTTCCCAAGCAAAGAGCATGGCAAACATTTCACATTGACACAGAGAAGTGAAACGTGGCATTTAAAGTGCTTTTCATTATCAGAATAAGTCATGCTGTCAAACAAGGGTTTACCTGGTAAGCCCCGATCTCCCTTTATTCCTGTTTGCCCTGGCAGACCTAAGATCACCAAAACAAACACAGAAAAATATATTTATACATTTATAAAAGTTTATGCAAACTAGTATTTATGATGCATTTCAACTGGTCCAGTTTAGCTGTCTACACTATAGGTATCGATTTCTGAAGCGGGTGTCTTATTTCCTGTTATACTCAGAGCAGACCTTATCAACAGAGAAAACACAGGTAGTGGAGATTCATCTTCTTCTGATGTAGGCCAGCTTCTGCTCATTGATTTAATATCCTAATTTCCACTGATGACATGGAAACCCTCCCTCCAGGTGGGTTTTCACTGACTGTGTAGAGAACCTAGACACATAAATTTAGATACATTAGACACATGCAAGCACATAATTTTGGGCCAGGTGACTCCCATCCCTATCATCCAGGTGTCAATGAATGCAGAAGGGCTCAGCACTTGGACCTTTGTCATCTCCTGGCGGATATGAGAGGTTGTGTGCCCTGTGTAAATTCAGAGTTAAAAAGGTTGACTCAGGAGAAATACATCTGTATAGGCTTGTACTGGAGAAGACCACCCTATCTTTTGAGTGCCTGGGACACAGAGGAGAGCTTCTTTAGAAGGAAAGTCAAAGAAAAGGCCAAGGCTATGTGTTCCAAGTTGGCCTCTGAAGATATCTCTTCTGGCAATGCTACAGAGGAGGCCAGGACAGATGCTTGCTAGTGAATACCCACCGCCATCAGATTTACAGCCAGCCAAATTTGTCTTTAGCTCCAGGGTGGAGAGGTTGTTATTTGTTTCATCTTAAACTGCAACTTTGTTTGTGTGTTTTGTATTTATACAAAAATGCAGGCAATATCACCTCCTCATGCGTGTTACAGATGGTGAAACAACCCTTCCAGTGAGCAGAGACCCCCCTGGCAGTATGGCCACGCCATGGCTTCCTGGGATGCATTGGGGCTCGGAGAACAGAACTTGACAGATTCCCTCCCTACTGTTGCAGACCCCTTTCCAGTGTTTGTATCATGCACATTCTCAACCCCAAACCTGTTTTCTTCTTTACCTGCTGTTCCTTTGTCTCCCTTTTCACCTTTAGGTCCCGCAATGCCTTGTACTCCTAAAATTGAAAAAAATCAGTATGGATGAAGTCATCACACAAATTGAGGCCAGAGTAGAAGGTCAGTGAGTTACAGGTTTGAATAGTCTTGTACCTGGACTACCACTGGGCCCATGGTCACCCTTCTCTCCTTTTTGACCAGGTCTGCCATCGAGGCCAGGAGTTCCCACAGGCCCACGTTGTCCCATTACGCCTTGAGGTTGAGCAAAAGCAGCACATGTGAAATGCAGCACAACATACGAAGTAGAAAAACCAAAGATAGCTCATTCATCAGTCCCTACAGATTTAGCTGACCCTATGAAGGCAAAGTAAATGTTGAGTCTCTCCAAATGGCACTCCTCCCCTGGCAGCACTAATCTTGGTGGTGCAGTGAGTGATGGTCTGTAGTGAAAGGCTGTATGGACCCGGGTTCTGGCAGTTTGTCAGCCTTGAGAGTGCTTTACTAAAAGAGCAGCCAACTTCTGTCCTTGTATGTGTACACATGTCAAGAAGGAAGACATGGCCCTTCATGGTACAGGACCCTTCTTTTCCTCTCATTCTCCTGCACAGTGAGCAATGTCCAGATGAGGCTGCAGGATGAATTTGCACAACACTGGCATGGTTTCTTCATCTAATTATAAACTTTTATTTTCTTACCCATGCTAGGATCTAGCCTGGTGACTGTTTTCTTTGTCATGAATCACCATCTGAAAGAGTTTGGTCTCACAGCGGTAGAAGAAGCTGCACCTTCTGCAGCACTTACCTGCTTCTCCTTTCTGACCAGGACGTCCAGGCTCCCCTGTGCTACCTGCAATAACATCCCAGCATCAGTGCTAACAAAGCTTAGTCAAATGCTTCAGCGAGGGCAGCTCTCCACCAGGGCACACATGTGCTGATGGTGGGTTGTGCTCCGTCCTCTGTACTTACCATTGAAACCAGGCAGTCCTGGGACTCCCTGCTGTCCCTGAGGACCCATGGGTCCACTGGGCCCAGGGTCTCCCTTCTTGCCCATTTCGCCTTTCTGTCCTTGGAGACCTACCAAACAGCACAGCATATGTGTAAATTAAAAAAAAAAAAAAGCAAACTCAGATTTGTTGTTTCTGCAGCCAGTGGAGCACCTCTGTCCAGCTTTATCAGTAGCAGAGCTTGGTTCATGTCTATCATTAGTAGCATTCCTGTAAAGCTGCATGAAGACAGGGCTGGGTGGCACCTCAGAAGTCTGCTGGAGCCACCTTTGGCCAGATGTTTGTCTGACCTGCTGTTAAAGACTTGCAGTGGTGCCATGACACCTCCCCAGTCTATTCCTCAAACTATCCCTACCACTAGAATGTTGTCTTCTCTCATTAAATATCCCTTGCTGCAGCCTGAACCCTTCCCTTCTCCTAGCCACAGTGGAGATGGAGGACAGCGTATTCCACTCCTCTGCTTCCAGGGAACTGCCACATCTCCCCTTAGCTTTCTCTTCCCCAAACAGATCATCAAGCATGCTCCAAAAAAGCTTAATTACTTTAAAATTCTTCTTTTAAAGAGTGATATCTTTTGCTTCAGGATTATTCCAAAGTCCTCTCCTTTCAATATTCCTCCTACTTTCACTTTTCTCTTCTGGAGCAACTTGTGCTAATGAGCACACTGGAGCTTGTGGGGTCTGATGGAAGATCTGAGGAAGCTCTAATCAGCATATCCAACCGTCCTCCCTGGTCTGCACCACACACATCTTCTGCTTTCTTTTGTTATCCTGCTTTCAGCCTTTCCTCTCTGGTTGCAGCCCTCGTGAGGCCACTGAATAACAGCTACCGAGGAGATGCCCACTAATGCACGTCAGATGGGAGGCACGTGGTGTATAACTCTTCTACTTAAGGTTTATAAAAGTCAGGCTTATATGGGATATAAAGTTCTCAGAAATAGGTTTTACTAAAGTGAGAACCATCCACATGCTTGTGCATATAAATTATATTGTATTAACTTATACCATGAAAATCCTACTGCAAACATCACTGCTTTAAACTGGGATAGGCTGATAATTGAATACTTGCGGCTTTCATTAGACAAAGATTGCTCTATAAAGAGACTTCCATGGTGCAGAGTCAACATTTTGCTCGTCTTCTTCTCCCAGCCCTCCTCTGGGAGCTTTGCTGGAGCACAACACAAAATGAAATCCCTTCAGCTCAGGACGTGTGTCCTGTTGATCCAGCTCCCTCATTGACTGGCAGGCTGGATTTTGATAAAATATCTGACCTATGAAAGCTTCTGGTGTTATAAGTAGAACAAGCTTGAACAGAAATACATGGGAGAATCTTAAAAATGCTGAGATAATGAAGAAGTCCTACCTGCAAGCCCTGTGTCTCCTTTTTCTCCTCTCACTCCTGGTATACCACTTGGGCCAGCACGACCAGGGTCTCCTTTACTCCCCTTCACACCCTGCAGTCCTTGTAAGCCTGCAAGAACAACACCACTTTTCTGATGCTTCGCTGGGTGTCGTGTCTAGTGAATGCCAGCAGCAGGCCATGTGGCTCAGCTCTCCTCGTACTTGACAGTGATGCTGGCCCACCATGACTGGCACACATTGACCTTTGAAATAATATTTTTCCAGCTAAGTTTTGCTTTTGTTCACATTAGTTTTATGCAGTCATATTTCCTTCAACTCCAATGACATTCCTACTGACTTACACCTTGACTGAGGATGAGATTGCCCATAAAATCATCCATAAAGCCACTTTAAGTTCATCCACAGAAGTAATTCAGGTGTCAGGAATGAGGATTCCTCGGTCCCCCTTTGTCCCTGGTGGTCCCTGTGGCCCTGAGATATAGAATACATATATCAGCTAACACACATCATCTATTCACAGTAATGGTTACAAAGAAGAGATTAATTTTTAAATCATCCTTTGTGCATACTCCTTTGGTCACCACTGAGGCCAGTCTTCAGCTGGCAGAGACCAGCAGAACCCCTTTAGTAAAGTCCATGGAGCTCAGCTGAGCAAGTGGCTGGGCTGGGGCCAGCTATCCTCCATCCAAACCCAGCTCTTGGGGACTTTTGGGGAGAACTTTCTTGAAAAAGCGCTGAACTATTGGGCTCTGATGTATAATAACAGTGCTTGGCAGGAGGTGCTGTATCAGTGTTGTAAGTGCAGCCAGGAAGATATGAAAACATGAATTTTAAAAAATGTATTAATTTTTTCCTTTGGAAAAGCTCATCAGTGCAGCCAAGAACTAGGGATGGATGAGATACAGTCCTGACCTAACAAGGGTTGCATCTTAGATCATCATTATAGGATTATAGAAACTCTGGTTTCTCTGGACGTCTACTAGTCCAACCCCTCTTCTGCTCAAAACGGAGCCAGCATTAGATCAGGACTTGCTGCATCCTCACAGCCTGGAGACATTTATCTCCTGCAGCAGATGCACTTCCACCCAAAACCCCCAAGTACCCAGGGCAGCAGCTTGTGCATGACTGTGGAGGGCAGTGCTTGTACCCAGCTCATTCCCAAGTCTGTGTGGGTGTTTCCTCAGAAACATGGTGGGCAAGATCCCAAATCTGTCATTGTTTGTTACATGCATTGTTCAGCTGGGACCCTATAGAGCAGAGACTGGGGAGGTATTATTGGATTGCCCTGCAGTGAGCTGGGCAACATGACCTGCTATGTCTGGGGTGAAAAACTCAGCTATCTGCTGGTTGTAGGATGCACATCTTGTCTCACATGGGGATTTGGGATGGTTATTGCAGGTAATGACCAGGTACAGTTCCTCCATCACCCCTGAGCTTTTCTGGCAGGGTAGCAGTGAGGAGGCAGTGCCAAAACACTCCTCTGTGGTGGTCGCTGACCTCTGCAGGAGCACTTGGGCAAGCCAAGGCTCTGAGGGGATCAGTCAGAAGGTGCAGCAGGTCTCCTCATGGCCAGGGCACTGGATGTCTGCACATTAGGTTGGATCTGAGTCTAGAAATCCCCAATTCTCACTTCAGGTCTCTTAGGGGCAAAAAGAGAAAGGTTGCTTACGACACATTTACCAACATACCTGGTGGACCAGGATCTCCTTTGCGTCCAGGAGTCCCTGAAATAAATATTTAACGGATATTTTTCAGTAGTCAGCACTCAATGAGGGACGTACCAGTACTGGGTTGATAGGCTTGAGGTGTGGGCTGAAGACACAACCCTTTGGAGGGCACCTACATCCCAAGTCTACATGTTATGGGAGTAGCCCAGAGATATATGTGCAGCTGCAGTGGGATCTGGGTGGGCTGTGCTTCATCTTCTCCAGGTGTGTCCAGCTCCCCTGTCAGGGCATCCAGAGCCAGCATCCAACCCTGAGTAACTGGGGCATCACTAACTGACAGGAAGACTAAATCTTGCCCTAGTTATTTGTTCATCTGAACTAAGTTTTTGGCCCAGCTTTGCCAGTGGTGCAGCATGGAGAAACAAAACCATACCTGCAGCCAGGGTGATGTTGCTCATCATCATCATCAGGTTTGCATTGCTGCTTTTAATTATGGTGATCTCTTCTTCTAAGCTTCTTCTCCAGTTTTCTTCATGTCCCATGTGCTTCTCTATAGAGTTTCTCTCCGAAAGCAGTTTGTGGGCAAAGGAGCTTTCCAGAATCTCTTCTGTATAGGAGGTATTTTGTTCTTGAAATTTCAGTATCTCTCTCTGCATCTTAAACACTGAAGAAACAAAAGGCCCATGCAGTGAATATTCCCTGCCCAACTCAGCTGGGAAAAGCCTCTTTGGCAGAGCAGCTCCTCAGCACCTATGGAGGACACCTGGGGTTAAACTCCATCACCGTTTGGCCCGGGAAGGTGGTTTTCAGGAGCCAGGAGCATTTTTGCAAATGCAAAGCAGATATATGGGGTGGGGGAATGTATTCTTGGCTGCTTTGACTTGCAATGTGCAGAGTAGCGTCTGTGCTCCCTCAGAGGGTTCCTATTCATGTGCTCACTCCTGTTCATCTGTGTCCCCCCAAGAGCACTCAGCAAAGCTGTCTTTCGATGTCAAGCCCGCAGTAAGGTCGCAGCGTTACCTTTGTACGCCAGCAGCCCCTGGCCGGCCGTCAGCAGCAGCAGGTAGAAGCAAAGGGCCACACTGGCACAGCACTTGGATGGCTTTCTTTTGCTTTGAGGCTCTAAAAACCAAGAGAAGTAGGGTAGACATCCTCTCACATCTCTCCCGCTGCAAACTCTGCTTGCCTCCAGCCATTTCAGGCTTGGCCACGATAGATTAGCAGTGACGGGAGGCAGCGAGGTCCCTCTGCAAGACTCCCAGGTCCTGCAGGCAAGGCAGGCTGCCTTCCTCACACCCGGGCTTCGCACTGCCACTCACACTTGACCCTTTTTTCCTGAGCCAATTTAACCAGCTCACTTCCATCAAGACCTAATACAGCCTATGACAGTATGAATGTGGTGGGTCTCCCCTTTCTGCGTGAATAATCTCCCTGTTTCCATCCCTTTTAGTTGTCTCAGGCTGCAATTCAAAGAGGGTTGCTCAAAGCGCATTCCCGGTCCTTCCAGAGCACTGTACACATGCAGTTCCAGCAGTGAGGTATGTATACACCAAGATAAATGAAAAATCAATAATAAACTGAACTGCAGAACAAATGAAAACAACTTGTAACATTTAAAACGAATCGTCACCAGCAAGTGTAAAAGAAATAAACTACTTTTTTGAATTTCAGCCTTTGGGGAGAAAAAAGTATTTCAGAAACATTAGTAACTACTTCAGACATTGAATAAGCTACCCTTAATTGTTTTGTTTTTTTTTTTTCAAAGTAATGTAATCAGAAGTTTAAAGTCTTAGCTTTAAAAGAGTACAATGATTTAATTAGTTTTACAACAGAATGGTTTAGTCAGCAATGAAGTATTTATATTCAGCTAAAAATTCATAAACTTACTTTTTAATTGGATTTGGTAATTTCAATATCTTAATTATTAAGACATGAAAGTTTTACTCAGTGAAATTAAGCATTTTCTAAAACAGGAAAAAATTTTTTTCTGATGCTCAGCATCAGCTTTTGGCTAGAAAGGACACTTTCACACAATTCTCTTTTTAAATGGTCAGTTAATTTAGTAGCAAAATCACTGTAAAAAGCATTTAATATGCAGTATAAATGCAATATTTCATTGCATTTTATGCTCTGCTTTATTCATAGACCAGATAAAATCCACATCAATACATTTAATAAAGAGAAACCTTACCACTTATCTGAAAGGTTGTGGTAGCAGCTGAAGCAAACCCAATCTTGTCTGAAATGCTGAAAGTGTTCATATCGCTCAAATTTTCATCTTCCCCATATGTGTCTTTAATATTCATGACAAATTTCTTTGGCTAAACTAAAGCCTTGTCCGATTACGGACAATAAAGAACTGAAGGGACTTCCTATCTGCCTCCTGATTTGATATGCTTTCTGATATGCTTTCCCTATGTGCTCAGTTTTTATAGACTTGTGAGAACTCTGATGTGGTAATTCAAACAGTTCCTCAAAAAAAATCCCATAGCTAAGATGTTCAGCTGCTCTTGTGTGCTCATTTGAGGACACCATGTCCATGGAGCCTTGGGCAGAATCCTGCAAGAGATTCAACCCTGAGGTATTCAACATCTCTGCACATTAGCGGGGTTGGGCATTTTGCTCCTAACACAAATAAACCTCTTCACACAGCCAGGAAGATCCCAGGTTCAACGTTAGCTTGGTGATCCATCCCCTGGGAGGGGAGGTGAAGCCCTGCATGGTAGTGAAAAACACATTAACTTGCACAAAGATGATGACAGTGGTAGTGCACAATTGAAGTGTAAGGAAGGAAGGCATCAGGAAGGGTTGTAAAGACAAGTGAATGATGGTGAGGTGTGGGGTGCTGAAGTCCAAATGGGTTTGGGTTGTAATGGAGAAGAGACACTTGCAGCCTCCTTGTTGAGACTCTCTCCAGCCCTTGCTTCCTCCCTGATCCATTTTCCACAGCCACAGACGCAGTTCCTATCACCTCATCACTTCTTTGCTCACACCCTGTAAAACCATCCCTGGCAGACCTCGCCGTGGCATGTGGCGTTTTGTCTTGGGGTTGATTTTGATTTTGCAAAGTGAAGCGACTCACCCAAGCCTGCAGGTGAGAGCTGTTGATAGGCACCGGGCAGAGCCCTCCTCACCCACGCTGCCACTGCCATGTGCTGCCCTCTTCGAGGTGCAGGGCAGACCCCATCACACGGTCTTCTCCTGTGCTGTGGGTCCGTGCTCATCTGCAGGGCTGGTGGGTCCTCGCCGCTTTGTGTGGCCGTGGAAGAAAGTGCAGCATAAGCTTCAGGTAGATGTGAGCTGGAAATCCACAACTCAATGGCCCAGTGCAGAATCAAGCCCTCTGTTCTGCACCTGACTATAGCTCTCTAAAAGTCTTAAACAAAAAATATGTGGGGATTTTTAAGTCCACTTCTGCATTCTCCTTTCAGACATGCTTATACAGCTGTAACCTGGTTTGAGAGGAAGAGGAATCCTCCATATCTTCTGCTACACACTGCATAAGAATTGGGATAATTTTCTTCATTGTGGAGGGCTCAGATACCTCCTTGAATTAGGGTGCAAGCTTGAAGCCATCTACACTTGCTGGGCCAGGTGAACAGCTGGGCATGGCTGCACTTGTGTTGCCAAGTGGATGTTTATAGAGATGGATGTGATTCAGATGCACGCAGAGAGCAGATTTACAGCAGAAAGGCTTTAAAGGACACATCTAGGGAAAGCCATTTTATTTCACAAGTATTAAAAAGAAGCTGACAGCTGTAGTTTTCAAAATGCCATTCTAAAAGACAAAAGGGGCCATGAGAGCTTTGTGTCCTCCTTCCCTGAGAAAGAAGTTCAGGGGTATGTTTTCCCATCTCTGATGGTCATGCCATTCCTAATAGCCCAAGTGGCATGAGTGTAAAAGCAGTAGAGACCCTGAGTTTTGACAGTCCCGCTCTGCATTGCTTCAGGGTTCAAAGTCCAATTCTCCACTTAGCTATTTTAAGAAAGTCCATAGCAAAGTCATGATCTGACCCAACTTTCCATACCCAGCTGGTCACACTTAACTCTCCCCTTATTCTAGCCGATGTAGCCCTGTGCAGCTCCGCCTATTGCCACATGCCCATCAGTCAGGTGAGCATCTGGGAGCATTGTAGTGTGTTTCCATCTGGATGTCGTCCTCTGCAAGTAGGCAGCAGATGTCCCTGTGCACGTGGCACCAGGAGTCCCGGCCGTGGCACTGACATCAGAGATCACGTACTGAAATGCTCGCCCAGCCTTCGTGTGTGCTCGCTGATGCTGCCCTCACCCTGCTCTCTGCTCTCTTTCGTTTCTCACTGCACCATCGTTGGCTGCAGCAGTAGATTGATGCCGGTTGTGCAATCAAGGTTACTAAATCAGGAAAGAGAAAAAGAAAAGAAACTGCTGATTCAGTGCAGTCTCCCCTAAGTTGAGGGTTTGCTGAAATAATGGGATTATTAATAGAATAGCAGTTTCCAGCACATTATGGGGCATGTTTGCTGGGCCACCAGCCTCACCCTCCAGACTCTCTGCTCAGAAGCCCTAGGCTCTCTCCCTCCTGCTGATCCTCCTGCTTCCCCTGAAATGCTCTGCTGACATCTCAGAGAAGAGCCTGAAGTCCTCCACTTCATCCCTAAACCAAGTTTTATAAACAGACAGCCAGCACCTCAAAGTTATGAGGCTGTGGGTAACTGCTGAGGGAGCATGAAGGGGTCCCTGGCCATCCTTGCTACCTTCCTCATCTCCTTTCATCACTGTTGTCAGCTGCAGCCATTTGCTACCACGAAAAGCTCATGGCAGAGCAAAGAGATGTAATGACAAACTCCAACCTGGCGTTAGCTAAACACAGTGGTTCCCAGCAGTGATACTACCATGTTAGCTTCCTCTCCTCAGGATAAGCATTTATCCTGAAAGAACTGAATTTATGATCTTTAGAGCTTTTTTTTTTCCTCTTCTGAAATGAGAAGATATCCTAGCTCAGAAGTGTTTCTCCATTTACCTACAATATGGCAATTTTCCCAAACTCATCTGTTCGATTGCAGACTGCCTTAGGCACAAATGGGCAGAATTCAGGGGCTTTAGTGCCCCTCCAAGGATAAGGAAGAGAAGAGATGACGGCACAAACAGGCCCGATGATTTTTCAGTCTTTTCTCTTTTTGGAATGAACAAGTTCAGTGAATTTTGACATACAAGTCAGCTCTTGTGGTGGATTGACTCAGGCCATCAGCCAAACACCCACCCAGCTGCTCACTCAGTTCCCTCTCCCAGAGGATGGGGTGAAAATAGAAGGAAGGTGAGAAGACACAAGAGTCAATATAATGACAGTTTAATAGGAAAAGAAAAAGCTGCACTTTCAAGCAAAACTGAAAGAGGAATTCATTCTCTACTTCCCATCAGCAGGCAAATAGGCAACAGCTTCCTGGAAAGCAGGGTTTCAGCACATGTGATGGTTGATTGGGCTGACAAATGCCCTAACCACAAACATCTCCCCTTCCTTCTTTTTTCCCTTGAACTTTTGTTGCTTATCTCAATGTCATATGGTGTGGAATATCCCTGTGGCCTGTTTAGGTCAGCGGCCCTGGCTGTGTCCCCTCCCAGACTCTTGCCCACCCACAACCTACTCACAGCCTTGATGCTGTGCAGACACTGCTCACCGATAGCCAGAACATCACTGTGTAATCAGCACTGCTTTAGCCACAAATCCAAAGCACACCAGCATACAGGATGCTGTGGAGAACATTACCTCCATCCCAGTCAAACCAAAGTTTAAGCTAAAATGCCTTTTTCTCCCCAAGGAAGGATCAAGACTTTGATGTCCATGGGCATCAGAAGGCACTGCTGAATTCAGGAAATGCCAAAGCAGTTTGTGAGAGATCAGTCCACAAGAAGTTCATGGAGGTGTCAGGTCTAGGGTCTTCCTTATAAGTGTACCGCTGACTGCGTGGCTCATCCCTGGTCAACACCCCCTAAAAAAAAAGTGGACCTCACTCTAAGGGCAGGAAAACCTGGAGATTTTCCATGCAGAAGTGAGACTGAGACCAACACGCAAGATATACACAACGGTGATTTGTGCCAGGGCATTAAAATAAAGCTTGAACCTGAACCCACATGGGATTAGGGGCCTTGTTGTGAAGCCCTCTGTGTCCTTGCATGCCCAGAGCCATGTTCAGTGGCTCTGGCTGCTGCAGTAGCACCTGGGCACTCCGGGCACTGTGGAGAAGCACTTGTGCTAAAGCAATAAAATCCCTGGCGCTGCCTGGCTGACATTTCTCCTTTCTATCTTGATGTGTTGCTTGGCTTTGTTGTAGAGATTAAAACCAGATTTTCTTTCCCTTCTATGAGTTATGTTAATTTGTGTTTCATCAGAACTTGCCTTTTCTCCTTTCCTTCCCTCCCCCCTCCCTTTAGGCTGGATCCAGCTGCACCATGAATTCAAGGAACCACCTGCAAAATATTTTAATGACTTCAACCTGCTCTTTGAGGTGAATTAATACCAGGGCAGCCTCCACAGCATGGTGAAATAGTCAGACTTGGCTGAGCAGGCCACCCTCAAAGCCAAAAAATACGTTCTGTGAGGCAGCTGCTCCTGACAGGCAACTCTGTTTTCAAGGACCCTGTACAGTGTCTTGCTCCTCACCTCGAAGACAGTCTTCCTGTATTCAGGTAAGAACTGATCCCAAAGTTTGGATGGATCCCAAGACAGCTTAGGAATATGAGGGAAAATAAGATGTGCAAAACCCAGCCACATGAAGAACAGGTTGGATCTGTTAGTGGTCTGCCATAAACAACACAGTTACAGCGAACGGAGGCATCTCGCAGGATTTGCTCTGCACATAGAAGCTTGGTGCTGTAGGGAGAGATCAGCTGCTCCCTAATTCTCCTCTTTTCTGGGATTCTTTGGTTCATCCCATGCTTGCAACAAATCCTAAAAGACTTCTCTAAGCACAGTGTAGTCACTTCCTCACTTTTCTCCATCTCTTTGGTTTTTAAAATCCCATGGTAATTTTAGGTTTTCTATGCAGATATCAGTCACATCAAACAATGCTGCAAGTGCTGCTGTGGTCCTCTCTGCCCAAGTGTGTGCCCCACAACCAACCCAGACAGGCAAGAAGGTCCTTAACCCACTCTCATCTCCTCTTTTTTTCAGGATAATCTCTGGGATTATGTGAGGTTCAGGATCACTGTAGTTTTAGATATTAAACTAGGCAAGTAGTCAGCAGATCATTCAGAAGGACGTTCCTAAAGAGGTTTATTATCCAGTATTGTCCTTGCACTGGGGCATATCCCAATTAATTGCCGCACATCG